AGTTAATTTTTGGTTGCCTAGCACTGCCGTAAAAGTTTAAAAATCAAAAGTAAATATTTTATGATCGCAATATTTCTTTCCTTTAATTAACATTTTACTTCGAAATTTCCAGAAAACAAAATTGTAAATAATAAATAATGATTCAATTAGTTGGCCTTTTTTCTACTTTTGAAAATGTTTAATGTTAGTTTCGTCAGGAAATTTTGCTATTTTAAATTTTATGAAACAGTCCGATAAATTTTAAAGTTGTTGGTCAAACCGGCAATTAATCTATTCAATTTTCGAAAAAGTTGTCGTTTTCTTTTCATTTAAAACAAAAAGTTTTTATACTCTTTTCGCGACTTAATATATGTACATATGTATGTATAATTTTAACAATTTTTTTAATTTTGTGTAAAAATCTATAATCTGATTTTTAAGCACATATGTATGTATAAAATCAAAATTTAGACGCCAATATTTTTATTCGATGAAAAATGAGAAATTTCCTGACATGGAATTTAAGAAAACGATGTGAAATCAATAATACAAGTGGACTCGCATTTTCAAAATTGTAAAAATTTTTCAAATCTAAAATTTACGTGCTCCTAAGTTCGTGAATCGCAAAATTTTTTAATCGGTTGCTGTATTAACTCGAAAAATTTGTTTCTTGTCAAAAATATTGCAGTGAGATGCCTGAAAAGGTTGAAACTCTTTTCATGTTTCATACAAAATTTATTGGTAAAAGTCTCAAGATAATCGAAATCTATTTAAGCGCGAAGGGCAATTAAATTAAAGCAAAAGTTAAGTAAAAAACTTTAAAAAGGAAATATTTTTAAGAAAAAAAAAATTTTAGAAAAAGTAATTTTTAAGAAAATCAAATTCTCAAGAAAAAAGGTTTTTAAGAACAAGGAAAAAAAATATAAATTAAAAAAAAAATAATTGTTTAGTTACTTTTCATAAACTTTTTAAGAATAAAGTGCTTTCCAGTGGTTTGGTTTTTTCGAACCACACAATTTTTTTTAATTTAAGTGTTTCCAGTGTATTTTATTCACATCGATCAAAACACATACATATGTATACACACACAAATACTTTAAGTACAAAAAAAATCCTAAATAAAAGAAGTTAAGTTGGTTCCTAACTGTATAAAGGAAGTCTGAACCCTTTTTAAATTAATGGGGATGCTGTTGTTCACCATTACTTTTAATTTCTTTAAAAGAACCTTGAATTTTTATTAAAAAAAATAGGTTTGTTTCATTTAATGTATTTTCATTTCAATTTGCCGGAATATGTTCAAGCAAACAAGCTTATTTGCTTAAAAAAAAATGTAGAGCCCACATAAAAATTTCACTTCATATAAATTTTCTATGGATTAAGATTTTATACTTTTCTTCACAAAAGTTTTGATTTTCCCTTTCCGCTTTCTTAGCTTTGCTGCACTTGAGGGCTAAGTTGTCCAGAGACACATACAATCAAAAGTTCTTTAACCGGCGAAATCCGTTTCACTTTAAAATTTTATTCGTTTTTTTTTACTATTTCATTGCATTTGCCATTTGCTGGGATTTTTCACAAAATTTCTCAACAAATTTCTGAGGAATCGCTTAGCATTAGCGCATTTGCTATTAAATAATCCTTTTTTGGTGTTGCAACCGTTTGGAAAGCTCGACAAAGACTAAATCCAACTTGAGTGGCTCGAAGGCTCGTTGGTTGGTTGCTTAGCTGCTTGCTTGGTTGGTAGGCTTTTCGTTCGAACGGTCGATGGTTGCTGCACCAACAACTACATAGCGAAGCCGCACATACGACAGGATACAAAAGTATCCTTGTGCATTGGAATAATCGTACCACCGCCGTCGTCTGCATCGTCGTTGTCGTCGGCAAATGAGTGTGCCATCCGTGCATTGTTGTTTTATCTTTCGTTTGCTTTTAAATTTTAGTTGGAAACTTTCCAAAGCTTGTTTCCAGCAGCTAGCCAAGTTAGCTAGCCAACTTCTTGGTTTTTATTTTATATGTTTGCCTTGTTGTAAGCGAACATTTTACTGTTGTTGTGCTTAAGTATTTGTTGGCCAAGCGCCAAATAGCAAACATTCATATGTATTTATGTGTGTATGCGTGTAATTTGCTGGTGCAACAACAACGCATTTAGCCGCAAAACTAACATGGAAAACAGCTGCTTTGGCAACGAATCGTCGCATGATGGTAACTGAAGCAAATAAAAAACAACAACTATGTATGTAAGTATGTATGTATGTATAGCAGCTATAATATTTTTTTGTATTACAACAACTAACCGCATGGAATCGCAAGCAAAACAACAACCAACAACAACATTACCGTTACATGTCACATCGTCGCAACGTTCGATAATCGGCGGTTATGCGGCGATGTTTTGCGAGTGTGGTATCCTTTTTTGAAATCACGGTTGGTGGCCGAGTTGAATTTAGCGACGGTAAAAAATATTTCAAGCATATTTCAACAAAAAAAAAAAAAATTAAAAAAACATCTACTTAAACTATAAATTTGGGGGGATGTTTAAAAAATTAAGCAATAAGCTTAATAAAGCACCGTTGCCAAATTTCTATATGCCATTTTACATACTTTCTTCAAATTTTAATAATAATAATCCCAACGGTTTTTCCCCTCCATTCCCGCCCATCCACACGAGGGCCACAGTCCGCATGACGTACGGAACCAGTATTGTAATTGTAAGAAAAATGAGTAAATGATAATGTTATATGGTAATAAACCAAAATATAAATTTTTTTAGAATTTTTTTATGTAAATTTTTTTGAAAATTAACATGCATTGTTGCCAATTTCCAGGGACCATTTAGATAGCTTAAATAGCCTACCAATGCGTAACACACATTCGTAAATTTCACACTTTAAAATGTTTGATTTAAAATACAACAAAAATATGTAATCTACATTTGCTCTGTTGCCAATTTTCACCGCAACTTTGAATATCATATATATGTATGTAAATCTGAAAGTACGGTTTCATTGCCTTACTATAGCTCAATTTCAACGATTGGTTTCTAATTTAAATTCTAAAATACAACTGCAACTCATTATCTCACGTCATCTCACGTTTGATTAATACTCTGATAGTTTTTTTTTTTCTGGAAAAGCGAGTTTTAGAACTTATTCGTGAATCATTTCTTCTGAGTTGTACTTACTTGGAAGGATTCCAGGCTTTTCCTTAATCGGTTGTACTTCTTAAACACAAAATAAGTTAATGGGAAACTGAGTTAAAGATTAAAAGGGCTCTTTAAAAAATCTGCGCTGTTGCCAAATTTCTTCTACCTTGAAAGTGTTATTTAAACACTCACTGAATACAAGATAAGGGGATGCTTTTTAAAGTATTTAACAGACATTCTATTGGCTAGCTTAAAATATATCGAGAAGTATTAAGCAGAATCTGCCTCGGAAAACTTCAGCAAGCTTTTCACAACGTACTTTCTTTTCCAACTTTTCCCTTGCCGGCTTTTAAGATCCGGTTGGATGCTGTATTACATAGCTCAGAAAGATAAAATCCTGCATGTTTCTTTTAAAAAGTGAAACTCTTCGCGCCTGTCAAATAAAGAAAGAGGGGAAGTGCAGAAAAGTCGTGTTTTTCTTGAGAAGAACTTTTTCTTAACCTTTTTTTTTCAAATTTTTTAAGTACTTATGACATAAAATCTCAGTTTGACCTTGTTTTAGGCAACAATAACGGGAACTGGAACGCGCTAGACCACAATTTTTTAGACGTTGCCGAATTTCATTTGAAAATAAAAAAAGTCACAGAAGCAGTGCTGTCGTTTTTGAGCTTCTCATACCAAAAATTTGTAGGCTGCTTGCTATTCACCTTTCGGCGCTTTATTTTTAAATGAGCTCTTTTGAAAGCTATGAGGCGAATGACCAGGCAAAGCTAAAAATCCGACGCTTTTACTTAGAGCATTTAATGATTCGTGGTTTAGTGGGGCAGTGAGTTTATTGGAATCCTAATAGAACATTCCGCAATTATTGTTTTAAATGGTTTATAGCTATAGGAGAACCTTTATATGGCATAAAAATTTGTTTTTACGATTCAATTTTATTTGATTTGAATATAAGCTCTGAGCTAGTAGAGACTGGTATGCCGCATAGTGTGGAAAAGGAACCTTTTTGTGGCAAACTTTAGGATCTTCAGAAGGAAACAGATCAAGAAATACGAATCAGCGTTTTAAAGCCTTTCAATTTAAAAATTCAAAATAAATAGTTGCGTTGGATAAGCAAATAACTTTGACTTTTGAAAAGGTGGCAATAGAGGGACCCATTCGAGGATTTTATGGGTCTCATAAAAAAAATTTATTAATAAAGAAAATGTTTAAATCTACAATTGGCTATTGTTATTGGAAGTCTCCTGAAGAGAAACCATCAACAAATCAAAAATCAAAATTCAAGAAATCCATACCAATTTAAACACTTTGAGCGACCTCTAAACATTTTTTGATTAAAAAAAATTCTGACTTTATTTTATTTTTTTTTTACCACCCTAATGTACATACGAGTAAAACATAACCATACATTTGAAAATTTTAAAAAAGGTAAAATTTTTTTATTTTTTTTTTTTAACTTTCAAACTCATATCGACAAACAACTGCCCTCAAAATATTTTTACTTCCATACCGATTCACACACACTTGAGATTTTCCGCACTCCAAACACTAGTTCACTGCATTTTCGAGCACATTTTTACCATCAAGTGCAATCGCCACAATTTTTTCGAACGCCTTAAGAGGTGCTGAGTATGTGCCGAAAAATTGCAGATTACAAACTAAACAACTAAATATTGTGCAAAGTACGAGTACAAATCGCTTCAACTTTCCCACTTGAGCACACACTTGAGAATCGAATATGAATGAAAACACTGCAGGAATATCAGAAATCGAGCACAAGCGCACTTTCACACGAACATGCCACAGCAACACACACACGCACACACATATGTATATATTCGACTGCATATTTATGTAGTAATGCTATAGGCTGCTAGCGCACCTCAAAATCACGCCGTCCACGCCTTAATCCGACTTTCAGCGCGTTGCCTTTAAAACCCTTATTTCAGATGGCTTAACGCCTTAAAGCATGCAGCAACTAACAAAGTTCAATAGCTCAATAGTACATACTGTTTAATACACGAACCACTTGATTTTACAATCAGAGCTGAGAGCTGAGATTTTTTTCGCGTTTACCACACGAGTACTGCACAACGACTGACTGACTTTGGTGGCGCACGAAAGGACTACAGCCGTGAGTCGGTTGCTCGCACTACTTACACAACCCGAACGTCCCCCCCTTGCCATCGATTCTCACTCGGCTCGGCTCAAAACCGTGCCGCCCACTGGAACTGCATGCAGATGAGAGTGTATGTATGCCTCTAATGGTAATTTGCTCTATTTGTGTTGGTATCCGCTTCGATTCGGCACCTACAGCTGTATTTCGACCGACGACAGTGGCGCATGCATAGCAGCGGCCGACACCGCCACGATTGGAAGATTAGCGAAAAATTACGCAATTTCCAGTACGACAGAATGTTGGGAAGTTTTCCGGCAAATTTCCCAATAACAATAATAACAACAACAAAGCAAACTCTTAAGTAGCTTCAAAGATATTTGGCATGTGCGAGGAATGTGCTAATGTATGTGGAATTGGAAAGCATGCAGCCAGACTGGCGGGCAATTCGGCTGACTGGCATGGCAGACAGCTGTTGGAAAATGGATGTGGAAAAACAGCCTAAGCAAAACTAACAACAACAACAACGACAACTCCGAATATCATCTGGAGTTCATTGAAGTGCAGTGGCCATAGGCGACAACGAGTCGCCAGCACGATATTGGAGTAGGTAAGTATGTATGTAAGCACTTGAGTGAGTGCTTTATGTTGTGGAGTGCTGATATTTAGCGTGAAAATTGGCAGCATTGCAGCTAAAAAAAAAGCTATAAAGTGCAATCGTGGCAAATTTTTTAATTGAAAAGCGTCATGTGTGCCCGATAAATAAAAATATTTCCAAGTTTTTGACTGACATTTGGGTATTTAAGAATTTTGGCAATATTGCAAATGCAGCCAACTTTTCGCTGGTTCTTTGTTAGTCATACGTTTTCGATTATTATCAAAGCCAAGAAGAAACTTTACAAGTAATTTAAGCGTTACTTTTAGATATTGTCTATTTTTTTGGAATCTTTTCATAACCCAATGAATCACTTATTTAATGGCGGTGTCCGAATCTAAGGATGCCATTTCGGTGTACTCCTGATAGCTTAAATTAGTACAAGTAATTCAGTTTTTATTTTCTGTGCAGCGTTGCCGAATTTCGCCTACGAAATGTCTTAGGGTATTGAAGTGGTAATTAGTATTGTTTGAGGGTAAACTAATAAAAACTAATACGCCTTAAGAAATTTCGTAGGCAAAATGAAATTTTTTAAGGACTAAGTGCTGTTTTGTCATGGTTCCATATGGGACCCACTTAAAAAAAAAATAAAAATCAAAAAATATACTATCTTCCCTGAAGAGAATAAAGGTCTCCACAAACGTACGCGATTCTTCCGCAACGATTCCGCTCCGTTTTCGATGCTACAGATGTTACTGCTTCTAAAACGCAAGTACGCACACATAATGTGCGATTTTATCGCAGTAAAAACTGTCCATTTATAGACAAACAAAAAATATTTTTCAACAAAAATAAATTTCTTATCTTTTCTACATTAAATACATATGTTTTGTTTTCTTACTTTCAATTTTATTAACCGACTTCCAAAAAAGGAGGAGGTTATCAGTTCGTCGGAATATGTTTTTTTTTATATGTATGTTACCGCATAACTTTGGACTACGTCAATCGATTTCGATAATTATTTTTGCACCGGAAAGGTAGTGTCTCAGAGGTGATCCCATTCTAATCTGGTTAAGATCCGATCAGTGGATCATGAGATATATATATATATTTTTGTTTTTATATGAGAGTTGAAGTCGTTTTTTTTTTTGCTAAAAATTACTTGTTTTAATATTGTAAAATCCTTCTATTGACCTTTTTCGTTCTCCAAATGCTGCACTCTGTGATTTCGGCACGACGAAAAGAAGAACTGTGCATGTTCGAATAAATCGCTGCAGCAAAATCGTATGTGTGTGGTTCCTCATTTAAAACTATGGTCGGCATTGTTGTAATTTTTGTCGGAACAGATTCGCACCGACAGAATCGCATAGGTGTGTGGAGGATACCTTAAGAAGTAAAAATTTTGGCCATGGAAAGTAACGAAAGTAATAATATCTACCAAAACAAAGTATTCGAGTACGCGAAAGCACAATCAGTACTTAACAATGCAACGTTGAAAAATTTCGTACCAATTTTTAAATTTTGTCTTCGCTTGAAAAACGCAATAATATCTAACACAAAAATATTCCAGTGCGCGAAACCACAAAACTGTACTTTCCACTGCAACGTTGCGAAATTTCGCACAATTTCGGATTTCTATTAGGCATTAAATGGCAAAAAATTTTATGAAAAAGTTGGGCATTAAAATATCTTCCGTCATTACGTTCAAAAAATAGCAGCCATTAAGTTCATTTCCACGTGGAATTTTTTAAAAGATTCAAGGAGAAGCGCTGGAAAACACTGTTTAAATTATGTTTTGTCTGCATATAAAAAGTGGTGCAAATTACGTTTTTTCCTGCATATAAACGATAACTACTAACAATATTTGCATGGTGGCGTCTTTACACAGTGCCGTCCCACGCTTTAAACCCCTTTAACCAACAATTTGATAAACATAAAAAGGTCAACTTCATGCTGACCCATGTCCGCCAAGCATTCACGAAATTTGCAAATTATTAGTTTTGCTCTAAAGGCTTGTTTGTTTGTATAGGTTGGACAGTAATAGAGTAATATAATATGTTTTACATATTCGGAAGGGCAAATACAGCCTTACACATGCAAAATTATCTTTACACATGCAAAATTATATGTAAATAACCCTAAATATATTGATATAGCTCACATTATGAGTTACTCAATGCATGGTTCATTTTATAGAGCTAAATTTAGTGGTGTAAATATACTACTTGCATATACATATGAACACTAAGGTGGTCCGAAAATGCATATGAAAAAGTAAAGTCTGAATTTTAATGCTCTCACTCCCAAGAATCGTTCTATATCGAAAAAAACTTTGCCCCTGTTTTTTTCTTATTTTAAAATATATGCAAAATTTTGGGCGCTTTGAGTGACCACTTAAAATTTTTTTGATTTCAAAATAAAAAACAGGGATATAATTTTATTCGGTATAAATATATAGAACAATCCTAGTGGGAGAGAGCATTAAAATTATGACTTTACTTTTTTTTTTTGCCACCCTAATGTACAGACGCACAACCTAGTTTGCATTTTAATAAGTAGTTAAGGAAAGTTTTTGCAACAATTTTTATAAGACCAAAGTTCTCAAAAAATAACACTGAAGATGGCACTACGCCAAAACCGGTTTGCCTTCAAACCAAACTTATTATACATTTGCTCACGCTGCTCCAACTGCCGCAATGGTCGAGTGAGCAACGCACTGGCATGCCATTCGAGAGATCCGTGGTTCGAGTCCTCGGGCAGTGGAATTTAATTTATTTTTATTTAATTCTTTTCTTCAAATTTAACCTTTTTTAATGATTAGATTTTAATGTTTTAAAAAGAAAAAATTATATATAAAAATTTTTTATTTAATTCAATTTTAAGAAACTTATTTTATTTTCTTGCATTTATTTTATTTTTTTATTTGATTTTCAGATTTCTTTAAAAAGAGATTTTTTTTATTTTATTTTACTATTAGAAGCATATTTTTTCTTAAATTTTAATTATTTTTTTCCTAGTTTAATTTGCTTTAATTTCAAGATTTTGTTTTAAATTAAAATTTTTTTTTAATTTCAATTTATTTTCAGAAATTCATTTTATTAATTTTTCTTGATTTAATTTAAATTGTTTCCCCTTTTTATTTTAATTTTAAGATTTTACTATTTTAAAAAGAAAAAAATATGGGACATTCTTTGCCAAAGATGCCACCCCATCTCTCCATTTTTTGTTTGATTTAAGGAATTCGAAATCTTTTGGAAAAATTTCTTTGAAGACTATATTTTTAAATGTCGTTGGGCGCTTCTGATTATGCGTTTTGGGGCTTGATTTTAAAAATTCAAAATGGCGGATCCCATATAGCGACCAAAAACAATTAAATTTATTAGATCGCTTCAAATTTTCCAATCGGGTTTTCTTGAGGTCGCTTATTACGAATTTGAAATCAGATTTTAAAAAGTCAAAATGGCGGATCCTTATTAAATCTACCGTACATCGAATGTACGTACATGGCGTATGAATTACTCAGACGAGATGAGAATATTACTCATACGCCATGTATACACTTTCCATTTTAACTTTTCTGTGATCAATATTAGATCCGCCATTTCGATTCTTTAAAAACTGATTTCAGATCCGTGGTCAGCGACCTCAAAAATATCCGATTGTAACGTCTGAAGCGAGTGCCACATATTTTAATTTTTTGACCGCTATATTGGATCCGCCAGATGGAATTTTTCCAATCTGACTTCAGACTCTTAATCAGCGGATCGATTTTAATTTTTTTTTTTTTTGTCGCCATTTGGGATCCGCCTTCTTTAATTTTTTAAATTATGTCCCAGAATCGTAATCAGAAACTCTAAAAACATAATAATCCGCTGTTAATTTATCCATAGGCACAAAAGATGTAACTCATATTTAAACCGTCATCCTGAATTTTTGAAAACGCCCAACGCCAAAATAGATCCTTTAAACTAGTTTTTCGAAAGATTTTGAATTTTTTTAATCAAATCAAAAATGGAGCGATGGGGTGCCCGCTTGGCAAGGAATGCATCAAATTTATTTCTAAATATAATTTAGTTTTTAGAAACTTATTCTAATTTCTTAATTTTATTTTAACTTTTAGACTATATTATTTAAAAAAAATTTAAATGCATTTAATTTTTAGAAAAAATTTTTCTACTTTTTTAATGATTTTTTTCATTAATATTTGTTTCTTTCTCAACTTAATTTTTTTTTAGGTATTGTTTTTATTATTTTTTTTTTGTTAAAAAAAAAAACATTTTTTTTAATTCTTTAAGTTTTTGAAAACTAATTTTATTAAATTTGTAATATTTTAATTTATTTTATTTCTTTTTTAAATAAATTTTCTT